ATTCTGGCCTGATAAACGGCCCAGATTCAATCTCAGAACCGGTTGCACGTAGGCTCTGCCACATAGGATCAAAATCCAGGGGGCTGACGTGGCTGTAATGACGTGTCAGCCACGTAGGACATATAGGTTAACCAAATCTGACGTGGCAGTTTGACTGGTCAGAGTGCTGATGTGTCAGGTGACGTGTATGGTGACTGTGCAAAACTGCTGACGTGGCTGAAATGATCTTAAATTTGAATTTCATCTTCCCTATTTATTTGATAAAAATTAAACATAAGATAATATGGGTTTGTCCGAGTTTCAAGTTCAAAGGGCTTTCACACGAGGAGATGTGTTAGAAAATAATATAAATTATATCTTGAAACCTTATCTAACAGCTTAAGCTATTAGGTTGAGATGATTCTTTGACAATGAGGTGTTGGGAATTTCGACCGGTGATGTACTAATACTTGCTCATAGGAGGGCCAAGCACACTGACACAATATTTAACGTGGTTCGGCAAAACCGCCTACATCCACGGGAGAAGTCAATATATTTAGAGATAGAGAAAGAATACAAAACAAATACATGGAGGAGGAGGATTACACCCTCTCATACTCAACTCTCAACTCTCTTTGCTGCACTTGCAGCTGCTGCCATTGCAGCTCTCTCTTCCTCTCTACTCTTCACATTTTCATAATTCTCTTCACTCATTTTGCTCTCTTGCATATGCCTCTATTTATAGGCATTCATGAAGGCTTTTCTTCAATAAAGGTGGCTGCCAACTCCAACTCTTATTCAACAATGGTGGCTGCCAACCTTTGACATCTTGGATGAATACACATGGTTGGTGCAATAGCAAATGGTTGTTGCACATTAATGACAACCAACCTAACAGGTAGAAACATGACGAAGCGTTTTGAATGATTTTGCTTCACAAAAACACACATCTATATATGTATGTGTCTGCAGTAAATTAAAGTTAAAAATCTCAACTTTTTGTTATTGGTTTTGACTTGAGATTTGTTTGATCATCATCAATAAAACAAGACGAGTGAGTGAGTGATTTGAAACGTTTCATTTGATGTCGATACTAAACTTATCGTTCAACTTTGCTTTCCATGGAAATGGAGGACTACTTCCCTTGCATCACAAATTGTCCATGAAAACTACCATGCCTGCTGCTTCTAATAGTTCATCCTCTTTTGTTGAGGACTGGTGAGTTTAACCCAGTCAACGCAAGGCAGATGATCAATTACGTGTACATATAGGAGGGTGTCTGTCTAGTGATCATGCACAGCTCCAAATTTCTTTTGACATGACGCGCTCCTTTTTCTGGTACCATCATCTATCAAGTCCCGCTTTAATTCCCCTGAAACAGTCCAAAATATGTTGTCATGCAGGATTGGTAAGAACGCAGCACTGAATTAAAAAATACATTACAATAATGTCTTCTCGGCTTCACTCTCAGAGGTTTTCTAACACAATTCTTGGCCTTTTAGTATCAGCAAAGGTCGAATGGAGGACAGAAGCTTTTAAAATTGTTAGTTGCAGAGCACAAGTGGGCATAAACAAATTACAAAAGATCAACGTATTTACAGGTCTAATAACTCTTAATAATAATTCATTGCCATGCATCACCTCTAGGCATCTCTCTCTCTCTCTCTCTCTCTC